TCACTCGGTCGCCCCAACTGGAGTGCAGTGGCCGCTCCCGGCCACCGCAGCCTTGACCTGCCGGACTCCGGCGATCCTTCCGCCTCAGCCTTCCGAGTAGCCGGAACTACAAGCATGCGCTACCACGCCCAACTGATTTTTTGATTTATTGTAGAGATGAGGTCTCGCCGCCCAGGCGGGTCTCGAACTCGTGGGCTCAGGCAATCCACTCACCTCAGCCTCCCAAAGGCACGGGATGACAGGCTGAGCCACTGAGCCCGGCTGGGGTTTTTTTCTTTAAGAGTTAAGTACAGTATTTGAATTATTCGGCAAGTGACAGTGCTTTTCTGTTTTAGGTAGGGACTTATCTTTTTCTTTTTGAGTTGGAGTCTCACTCTGTCGCCCAGGCTGAAGTTTAGGGGCAAGCTCACAGCCACCTAAGCCTTGGTCGGCTGGGCTCAGTTGATCCTTCCACCTCAGCCTTCCAAGTAGCCGGAACTACAGGCACACATCACCATGCCCAGCTAATTTTCTTGATTTATTGTAGAGATGAGGTCTCACCATGTTGCCCAGGCTGGTCTCAAACCTATGGGCTCAGGCACATCCTCTCGCCACAGCCTCCCAAAGTGCTGGGATTACAGTCTTGAACCACCGCACCCAGCCTCATTTTGTTTTTAAAGTAAGCCTGTTTGGTTAAGAAGTGGGCTGAGCTACTGATCTATACGAGTGAACCTCACATGGGCAACACGTGGACTGCAGGAGCCCCCAGGGACCCAGGGGGAGTGTGTTTTATGGGAACGCCCTGCCTAGCCTGCAATCCCGGGGTCAAGGCTTCTTTCAAAAGTGCAGCGAACTGGTTTTTCTTTCGTTTAGAACAAGATGGCATGGACTTGAAGGTGGAGTTTGAGACCCATTTCGGTATTGCCCACACCCGCTGGGCCACCCACGGGGTCCCCAATGCCGTCAACAGCCACCCCCAGCGCTCAGACAAAGGCAATGGTAGGTGGTGGGACCTGGCCCCAGGCCCGGTCAGGGCTATCCCCGGCCGGGCCCAGGCCCCTCCCCAAGGGCGTCTCTGGGCAGTCTCAGCCCCGCATCCTCCCGCGAGGATCCCAGCGTCCCCTCTCACGGACCGCGCCGGTGGAACTGGGCCCCGTCAGGAGCACACGGCCTGGCCCCTGGTTATTGTGGGAGCACGACGGCCCCCCTTGTGGCCATTGGCTCCTGGGAGCCCAACGCAGCTGTGTAGGGACCGGGTACCTGGACATAGCTATTCCCCTGGGAGCAAGGCCTTTCAGAGGGGGTGTGGGGGGGCAGCCCATTCTCACCCCACTCCACCTTCCACCCGCCTGCAGTGAGGTGGGCGGGCAGGGCTGTCGGCTCCCCAGCCTGCAGCAGCTGCCACACACCCTGGGCCCCTGTGGGAGGCCTGGGCCTGGGCCTGGGAGCAGCAGGGGCTGTGCTGGAGGCCCAGGCCTCTTCTCAGGGCTCGTTCTGTGCGCTTCACAATTGAGAGTCGTTGTGCCCAGAAGTCCAGACTTCCAACATCCCTGGGAAAACTGGAGTATCCGGCCAGGCTCCATGGCTCACACCTGTCCTCCCAGCACTTCGGGAGACAGAGGCGAGAGGATGCTGAGCCACGTGGCGAATCGGGGTCTGTACAATAAACCACAAACTTGGCCAGGTGTGGTGGTGCACGCCTGTGGTCTAGCGACTTGGAAGGCTGAGGTGGAAGGATGGCCTGAGCCCAGCAGGTTGAGGCTGGGAGACTCTGACTCAAAAAGAAGAAAGGAAACCTGGAGGTGTCTGGAAACAAGGCCTGGGACTGTTCACGCCCATCTTGGAAAGTTCTGGGCTCCCCCACCTCCCATCCACCCCCCTCAGGCCAGCCCCAGATCACAGATCCGGGCCACTTGCCACCCCCAGGCAGCCCTCCATGCCTTGCGCTCTTCCGTGACGCCCCCTCCCCACCCGCGGAGAGGAGCTGGCCGATCCTCAGCTCTGGAGGCGGCGCTCAGGGCCTCCAGTAGTGGGACCAGCAAATGTGTGACACGGAGGGGGGATTCAGCCCTGACTCTACCAGGCCTCCAAGGCAAGCAAGAGCCCCGCCCGTCCTCTGGGCCTTCCAGCGGTTCCCACCGTGGGTTAGGCCGGGTCAGGCCAGAAGTTCCTTCAGCCCTGACCTGGGCACGATGGGGGAGGGTGTCCCGCAGAGAGCGAGACGTGTGGAGTCAGCCGGCCCCCACAGGGACACCCCGGCAGGCAGGGACTCAGAAGCCCCATACCAGAGCGGGTCAGGAGCCAGGCCCCACGGGGACCACCCCGCACAGAGCGGATGCAAAAGCCTCACGACAGCAGGGTCGAATCCACCAGCACAGCTACTGAGTCTTACAGGCAGATACTCGGCTGCATGCCTGGGATGCCTCTCCCAGTCACCTTGTGCGGGAGAAGCCGTCCTGCTAGGGTCTCAGTGCCCCGAGGCAGTGTACAGTGCCAGCAAGAGGGGCAGACGCCCTCACCCGACTCAAGCGTGGGGGGTAGCTTGTCCCCAGTTCACTCCAAGGATTCCCACTCCCTTCTGGAAGGGATGGCATCTTCGAGGACAGAAGGAGAAGCCCACCCACCCATCGGCAGAACAGCTGAAGAATCCATGGTTGGGGCTGCACATGCGGCCACGTGGCCAGAGTCCTTGGGCGGGAGGTTTTCACTGGGAACTGTCCCTTGGGCCAGTCCACACCCTGAACCATGCCGAGGGCATCCTGCCACGGGGGCAGGCCCTCTGCTCTAAAGGAAGATGGCACAGATCCCACGGGGCTGAGAACTCAGGGGACGTCCATCTGGCCGAGCCCCAAGTCCAGGGCAGGAGCTGTCCCTGGGACAGCGGGGCTGGCTGAGAAGACGCCGCACCGGGACCACGAGCTCTAAGACACTCACGTCAGCGCCTCTCGCCCCCCCATGATAAGGCCAGCATGGTCAGAAGATCCCCCGCGCCTGGGCAGACAGTGATTCTGATGTGTCCCCAAAGCAGGAGGCTCCAAGGATACCCACCACGCCCCCACTTGGAAACTCCTGCCCTGACTCAGGATGAGTAACTGAAAAGAAAGCAAGAGGGGCTGTCCGCAAAGGTTCACAGAAGGTCCTTGGCAACGCGTCTGTGATAGCACCCCATAGGGGGTTACACGCCCGCCGTCTTCTCATCTCATGCCTGGCAGCTGCATTGCTCATACCCACCAACTGCATGTATAGGGCAATCACAGAAGGTTTTGCAGAGAAAACACAGATTCCCAGAAACAAAGTAATGATAAGAAAAGTCAGTGGCTGAAAGGAAAAAAAAAAGTGACAGAGTTAAGAAGCAATGTCACAGTAAATACGAAAAAAATTGGAGCAGGGGAGGGTATGCAGCCAGTTAACAGAGACCCAACACATGGATAACCGGTGTTTCTGAGAAGCAACCAGAACAGATGGAACAGTAAAAAAAAATAGTATAGCTGCAGTGGAGCATAGCCCACACACCTGCTAACGCAGGGCTCTTCTTATCCAAGCCCTCTCTGTGTTTGGTGTGACTTCACAAAAATAAACAATAGGTTTTTTTTAAATGGGTGGTTGTGGTGAACATAAAAGAACAGCTGGAAAGGGTTTTAAAGGCGTAATAGGGGAAATCTTTCTGGAACGGAAGAGAAACCTAGGTTGGAGATCTGAGGGTTCACGGAGTGACCGTCAGCAACACCCCAACATCCTGGTGGAGCGGTCGAGCCTCGGGGGCCATAGGGCCCCTTGTGTTGTCTGGGAGGAGAAGGAAGGGACTGCTGGCCCAGAAATGCCCTCAGGCTGCCTGGGCCTCTCCCTCAGTGGGCCGCCGCAGTTCTTGACCGAAGAAATACAGCGGGCCCAAGGCAGGACATCCTCACCGTCCACAGGCCTCCCCTGCACAGGGCCCTGCCAAGAGAGGGGGTGAGAGGGTGGGCGGTGGCAGGGGGGACAGGAGATCCTGCCTCACAGGACTTTGGATGGGTCCAGGGATGCCGAAACTCCCAGGACATCCCCCCAAGGAAGCCAGGACTGTAAAGTGAAAACTGCACATTTTGAAAGCCCAGGTATTTTAACATGTGGGTCCAGAAAAGCCTGTGGGCAAGCAGGTGGTCCGTGACCTGGCCGGGCCCCAAGCCCATGGGGATGCCGCCAAGCCTCTCTGGGCCGTGAAGCACTTCCTGCATTGACATCAAAGCCAAGCTTGATCATGTGTAGACCACAGCGAAAGCTCGCCGTGTGGCCAGTTGCAGCCACTTGTCCCTGGAAGGGAATCGTGTGTCTCCTCAGGTTTGGGTTGGTGTCCCCATAGATACCCAGACAACAGGGCCAGTCAGTGAGGGGAGCAGGACAGGACTCTGCAGAGACGGGGTCTGTGCGGCCATCGAATCCTGTTCCTTCAGGTGTTACTTGAACTTGGTTTCCTGATAGCATTTCTCTCTCGACTTGACTTTCCTTCCAGAATTTGTTGTCATCCATAATGGGATCATTACCAACTACAAAGACCTGAGGAAGTTTCTGGTAAGACACTCCCCTCGTCGGTGTCTCTGTTCGGGGTGGGGAGGGGGGTCTTGGTCTTCCCAGAGCCTTTCCACCCAGCTCACTTCCCTCTGGAAACAAGTACAGGAGCTGAGCGAGCCCCTCCTGGCCACATCACAGCACCAAGCGCAAGCCTCAGCCCCAGCCTCCCCGCCTCCCAGGTCTCGTGCAAGGAGATCACAGGGCAGTAGCGTTTATCTCAGGGCCGCTGCGGACTCACAGTCAGCACAACACGAACCTAGCTTTGCCATGCCTGGCTCTGCTTCACAGCACGACGTCTCATGCCAGCGGAGGGGCGGCGGGAAGCCAGACACCAGTGTCTGAGGCTGAAAGGCCGTGCGGTGTTGGCGGGTGTGGGTGGGTTTGACTCAATGTGTCTTATCATCCTGCGGCTGTTGTTTTGCAACGTCCAGACTCACGGCAAGGCCGGGCTTCCGAGGAGGGCTGACCTCAGGGAATACTGCAGTGACGCAGAGGCACTGGCTGTGGAATCCTGGCAGACATCCCTGGTCCCTTCCCGGTTTTCCTCCTTCTCGCCTTAAGTCGCTCCCTGGGCAGGCCCTGAGGGAGGAGCAACAGTGGCCAGGCGGGCGTGGTGCAGCGGCTGTCACCTGACGCTGTCTGCCGCGTGTTCCAGGAAAGCAAAGGCTACGAGTTTGAGTCGGAAACAGACACGGAGACCATCGCCAAGCTGATTAAATACGTGTTCGACAACAGGGAAACAGAGGACGTCACATTCTCAGCCCTGGTCGAGAGGGTCATTCAGCAGCTGGTGAGTGATGCGTCTCCCTTCTAAATCATCCCTCCGTGTTTTATAAGCACTTCTTGGGCGAATCTGCAAAGTCCTCAGGGTAAAACGTGGCGTGTTCGCAGCATCTGGACTTCAGCTGTCACGTCCTTGCAGGATTGGGAGAGAGTCTGTGGCTTGGGTAGTAAACCTCAAATGGCAAGTGCCTCACTGCTTTAGCACCTCCGAAGCCGTGACTGGCTTCACAGCCTAGAATTTTTTTTTCTCAAAGCAGGTTCTCACTCTGTTGCCCAGGCTGGAGTGCAATGGCATGATCACGGCTCACTGCAGCCTCCACACTCCTGGGCTCAAGTGATCCTTCCTCCTTAGCCTCCCGAATAGCTAGGACTATAGGCACATGCCACCACGCCTGGCTAGTTTTTCAAAATGTATCTGTAGAGATGAGGTCTCATTATGTTGCCCAGGCTGGTCTCGAACTCCTGGGCTCCACCAGTCCTCCCGCCTCAGCCTCCCAATGTGCTGAGGATGACAGGCATGAGCCACTATGCCTGGCTCAGTCTAGGACTGCCCGTAACGCACATGTGAACTTGGAGGTGGAGTTCGGGAGAGGGTGACGGTTCTGGAGGAGGCTGTGTTTGTGGTACGAAAGCACGTCTGTGCTGAAGGGAACGACCCAGGGGAGAGATGGGTGATGTCCCCAAGGGCAGGGCCCAGCAGTGGAGTCCCTGAGGAGGGGCCCTCACCCTGAAGGGACTGCCCAGGGGACGCCCTCCTTGGAGGAGGAGGGGTCAGACACAGGTCCACATAGGATGGGGGAGGGCTCCAGGCCCCTGGGGCCGTCCCCACGGGCCGCCGTGCTGCCCAGCAGCTCCTCCAGGGCATGGCCGCCTGGGGGCAGCACTCAGGGCCCAGAACCAGGAGCACCCCGGCCAGCATCCCCCGCCAGAGGCCGCTGCGGGCCTGCGCTGAAGGCAACCTGCTTAGAGCAGTTTGAAGGTACGCAATCTTTGAGTGCGCATTTTCAGTCTTATTTATTTATTTTTATCGTGTCTATTTATTTATTCATTTTTGAGTCAGGGTCTCCCTCTGTCGCCCAGGCTGGAGTGCAGGGGCCCTCTCATGGCCACCGCAGCCTCGGCCTGCTGGGCTCTGGCGATCCTTACGCCTCAGCCTTCCGAGTAGATGGAATCGCAGCGTACGCCACCACACCTGGCTGATCTTTTGATTTATTGTAAAGACGAGGTCTTGCCAAGTTGCCCAGGCTGGTGTCAAACCCCTGGGCTCTTGTCTGGGCCCCACAAAATGCTGGGATTCCAGGCGTGAGCCGCTATGCCCAGCCTCAGTCTTATTTAAGTCTATTGTTGAAATCCTTTGTCCTCAGCCTGTCCTGCCTGAGTGTCCTGGCAGTGTGCAATGCGTGGTGTGGTGTGGCTGCGTGGCATTTCTTCTCCGTTGTTATGTTTGGGTTTTGGAGACGCCGCCCCTGTGACGGCACTTGTACACCTGGGACTTTTCTTACCTGGAGCAACACGGCTGCCAGGCTCCTCCAGGCTGGGAGCCAGGGTCGTTGGGACTCAGCCCTGCCTCCTTGGCCACAGCAGCAGGGTCTGCCTGAAGCCCCTCGTCTGGGGCCGTGGGAAGGGCCCGCTGAGGCCTGAGGTTCTGGCTGGGTCCCTCTGGCTGTCAGCTGGGCGGTGACCTGGGCTTGACACGCCAGCCGCACAGGCCTGGGCTGCCCCGGGTTTCGTGAGGGCTTCCCATGTGGACTTTGGACTTTGGCTGGCAGGACATGACCAGCTAGGGGGTCGAAGTGGATTGGTGGTACAGGCAGCACAGGAGAGCTTCACAGAAGGAGTTACAGAGGAAGCTTGTGGCGTCCTGAGTCAGGAAGACCATGGGGCACACACAGCAGACCAGTGGCCATCCTGTCCTCAGAGGCGATGACGGTGACAGCAGCAAGCCACACTCTCCGGGCCTCCGTGTGCCACCTTCTTCACAGGAGCCACACGAGGCGGGACTGGGCTCGGCTCCATCCACGGGAGGGAGAGGACAGCAAACAGGAGACCCGGGATGGCCTGGGAAGGGTTGGAGGCCGGATTCGAACCCGGTGCTGCCGTGTGCTGAGCTAGGTGCAGTGTGAGGCACTGCCAGGCTGGGCGCCCTGCCCGCCCTCACTTACTGTGGCTCTCACCGTGCCCGTCCGGCCAGCTCGTCACAGGGACAGGAGGCCCAGCCAGGATCCTGTGGGCCGGGTCAGGCGTGCACATGGCTCAGCGGGAAATCGTGGGCTCTGGTCTGCGGCGCCTCCACCTGGTGCCGTCTGGCCCACTCTCCCTCCTGCCGGTGCCTTGCATCCATGTCCCTGCACTCAGCCCTGAGGGACCCCCGGACTGCCCGCCGTGGACAGGGCCCGGGAGACCCCGCAGAGGCAGCCGGGCTGGTCAGGTCGAGCCACCCTCACTGTTCATCTGTGTGTTTCAGGAAGGCGCCTTTGCACTGGTTTTCAAGAGCATCCACTACCCAGGAGAAGCCGTTGCCACCAGGTGAGGCACATGCCCTAACGTTTCTAGGAGAAACACACAGCTAGAAGGACATCGCTCGCTGGAGGCATGCAAGGCGCCTCGGCACACGGGAAGGCACTTGCTGCATCAAAGGGCATCTGGGACTCAGCCCCGGGTCCGAGCCTGCCATCTCTGCGGCCAGTGGAGCTGATGATGTTTTTGTGGTTTTTTGAATTGGGGTCTCACTCTGTCACCCAGGCTGGAGGGCAGTGGCACGATCACAGCTCACTGCAGCCTCGACCTGCTGGGCTCAGATGATCCTCTACTTCAGCCTCCCGAGTAGCTGGGACTATAGGTGTGTGCCACCATGCCCAGCTAATCTTTTAATTTTTTTGTAGTGATGAGGTCTCACCATGTTGCCCAGACTGGTCTGGAACTCTTGGGCTCAAACAGTCCTCCCAAAGTGCTGGGATTATAGGCATGAGCCACTGCATCCAGCCCAGAGCTGCTGACTTTTTTAAAAAGAAAACCCAGAAAGTTGGATTTTTTTTTTAAATGCCAAGGTTTTCAGAAGTTGACAAATTCAAATTAAACAAAAAACTGTACAGAGGGACAGATCCAGGTTTTGCGGGGCTTGAAGCCTTGACTATTGGGGGAACCCCCTTAAGAAAAAGCATGCAGAATTATGGCATGAAACTCCAGGCCGAAGTGAATTTTGATTTGGGTTCGGTACAGGAGAGGTCACAAAGGCCCCGGGCTTGAGTGTTGGCACCTTCATGTAGGGGCGTCCCGGAACCTAGCCAGGAGGGCCCCGTCCCTCTGTTGTGGTCCCCAGTGTTATATGGATTCACAAAAGTGGATTAAGTGCCATCCTTTAATTTGCTATCCAGATGGACTGAATATCCATCCGCGCAACTATTCTTTTTTTTTTTTTTTAAGTTGGAGTCTCACTCTGTCGCCCAGACTGGAGTGCAGTGGCCACTACCGGCCACCACAGCCTCGACCTGCTGGGCTCTGGCGATCCTTCCGCCTCAGCCTTCCAAGTAGCTGGAAGTACAGGCATGCACCTCCATGCCCGGCTAATTTTTTATTTATTGTAGAGATGAGGTCTCACCAAGTTGCCCGGGCGGGTCTCGAACCCGCGGGCTCAGGCAATCCACTCACCTCGGCCTTCCAAAGTGCTGGGATTACAGGCTGAGCCACCGAGCCCAGCCCGCAACTATTCTTTGTTGAACACTTACTGTGTGCCGGGCCCTGGGGACCTGGTGATATCAGACGTGGTCCTGCCTTGAGGGCTGATGGTCAGTGCAGGGGAAAGAAAGGGCAGAGAGTGGTGTGCTCTGTGGTGGGTGCTGGGAGGTTGCAGGCGTCAGCTGGGAAGGGGGATGCAGGGAGAGCTCCCCGGGGAGGAGGCACCCATGTGAGCAGAGACAAGGGCCCCCGGGGCAGGATCCCCGTTGGGGGTGGTGCAGGGTGAGGGGTGCTGGTGGGCTGAGTCCATCTGGGCTCCGTGTGTGCTTCCTGCCCTGCTGGGTGCCCGGTCGGGGGCCCGCCGTGAGCAGGTGTGGATGCTGCCCTTTGAGTCTGGCAGGCATGGGGACGGAAGTGGACCAAGAAGGCTCTGGAGGGCCCGAGCCCCGCAGGCTGCGGGCTTTATTCCGAGGCTCCAGGGAGCTATCGAGAACGAGCCTGGGACCCTGGGAGACGGGCGGAGAGCTGTGGCCAGCCCTGCAGGTGCCCCAGTGTCTGGGCAGGAAATGGTGGAATGCATCAGGATTTGATTTTCCTGGTTTGATTTAATTGGTTCCTGGGGCTGGAACCAATTTACACTAGGAATTTAATTCCTTGACATCATAGAATTATGAAATGCCAGTGGATTCCTATCTTGTAGAAGCCCTTTAAGATCTGATGTCATCATGACGATGCTATGTAAAATGGATGCGGGAGGCATGTGAAGAAGCAGAGAAGCCATATTTTCCTAGCTCGCCTGTGGCTCTGCTGTCGACCCTCCAAGAGGGTCTTGGAAGACTCTTGCCTCCCCAAGTCCAGAGAAACTGCAGCGCCTGGTCCTCGGCAGCACAATCTGGGGGAGCCCTGGGCCCAGAATATTAGAAGACCCCTCAGTTTCCCACTGTCATTATTGTAAAGACAACTTGAACCCAGAACCACGCCTCAGATTCACTTTAGACACAATGAAAGATGGCCTGCAAGGCGCCCGTGACATGGTCTTCAAAGCCACAGACATTATGCCCACATTGAGAAGTCAGAAGCAGCATGTGCCGAGCTCTGGGGACCTGCCTTTGAGGACTGGATGGTTGTGCCAGGAGGGTGATGGTCACGTGATGCCCCCATGTCCCTGCAGGAGAGGCAGCCCACTGCTCATCGGTGTGCGGAGCAAATACAAGCTGTCCACGGAGCAGATCCCCATACTGTACAGGACATGTGAGTTTCTCCAGCAGGGCGTGAGCAGCTCACTGCTACCAGATCTCGGGTCACCTCCCCTCCCACCCAGCAGGCACGTGGCTCCAGATCCAAAAGGTTTTCATGCAACTGAGACTTGGCTCCAGGCTCCCTTTTTTTTTTTTTTTGCAGAGATAGGGTTTCATGTGCTGTCCAGGTGGGTCTCGGCCTCCTGGCCTCAGGCAGTCCTCCCACCTCAGCCTCCCAATGAGCTGAGATTACAGGCATGAGCCATCGCACCCGGCACGCAGCTTGGTGGCTCGTGGCAGCCATGGCTCAGCCTGAGTGCTTCCGTGGCCTGTTTTGCTTGCATGCCTTCCACGCTGGAGCCCTTCAGATGCTCCGGCAGAGCTGCCGTGCTGTTGGGGTCTTTCACAAGGCTTGACTGCCACGGCCACAACAGGAAGTGGCAAATGCCTCCCACACTGCCCGGAGGGGACGGTGGTCCTTTGCCGCAGACAGAACAGCCTCACGGGCTCTGCCGTCTGCCCTTGTCTGCCAGGCACCCTGGAGAACATGAAGAGCCTCTGCAAGACGCGTGTGAAGCGGCTGGACAGCTCCACCTGCCTGCACGCCGTGGGCGACAAAGCCGTGGAGTTCTTCTTTGCGTCTGACGCGAGGTAACCCGCCCTTCTTGGCCAGGTCGCCCAGGGACGCCTGCCTACACCATGCCGTTCCCTGCTTACCCGCACTGTTTCTCCTGGCCCCACTGGTGTGGGGCCAGGCAGATGTCACCCCCGATAGCCCCTGCCCTGGGTCCTCGCTCAGCAAGCTCCTGCATGACGGCAGTGGCAGCCCCGGGGCCGAGGCCAGTGCCACTGGCGGGCGCAGTGCTTGTGCCTGCACAAAGTCACGGACTGAGCTGCCAACACCTTAGGATCGGGGAGCTTCCCGTGAAGATCCCGGTTTCTAGCTCCTCGGGAAATCCCGCAGATCCAAGCAGGCTGGGTGGAGCCCCCAGGCCCAGGCAGGTGGTCCCTTGAGGTGGGGCCTGCATGCCCTTGCCCAGGCCTCACACACCCTCCGCGGCCTCGCCTGGGGTCAGGCCGTGTGCAAGAGACCAAGCCACCACTGAGGGGGTCGTTCACTTGATTCTGAAGTCCGTGTTCTCACCAATCCTTTAATAAGGATTTAATTTTGAAATTCGAGAAGTTCTGCTTCATGCTCATTTTAGCAAAAAGTGTTATACACGGGGCGGGGGAGGAGAGGGAGGGGACAGAG